GATTTTATACTTGTGAAAACATAATTAGCAGTTGCTTATCACTACTAATGCAGAAATACTATATGTTAAATTAGAGGGATAAGTTGAAGTTAATAAGGTGATGGGTTAACAGCATGGAGTTGTTAAAGTAAACTTGGAATAATTTCTAGTTTTCTGTCAAACAGGCTTCTTTGTGTGAGTTGAAGAGTGCTAGACTGACATCGCATAAATGTGCAACCAGTATTTGACTCTGTTTTTGAAAGTTGGTTAACAACGCGTTTTACTATTTTTAGCATTATTTTTAGGTAGTAAACCTGTGGAGCTCCTTCAAATATCACTATTTTATTAGTATTGTGACATGGAAATGTTAACATTGTAATCAGAAACAACCTTTTCAGGTAAAAGCTCTTCATTTGGAAAAGTGAAGGGAAGCACTGACATTTTCCTCTTTCTAAGCTGTTATTTAGTTGTCAACAGGTATTTAGTTTATCCTGGAGTGTTATAATCAGTTTGTATCTGAAGTTCTGTAGGATTTTAAAATCAAAATTTTGCTTGTGATTTTAAATGGCATGTTATTTATCACTTCACAGGTAGGATTTTCTTAAGTGACATAATGTTTAGCCTGTGTGTGGTGTGCACGTATGCATGCACAGACATTGACATGCTTACTAGTGATGTCTTGGACTTCTTAAAGAGATTTTATCTCCTTGTAGTTTTTTTGTGAACTTTGCTTTTGTTCTGTTACATCTCAGTTTCTAGTTTTCTTGTAGAAACAGGATTAATTTTTGCAGAGGACTGGATTAGGTTTTTCTAACAGAAAAGCGTGTGTTTCAGATGTGTTTCTCTTGATCGTGGCTTATGTAATATCATACTTCTATTGAAGAAAAATGTTAAGCATCCTTGACATCAAAATGTAGGAGTACTGATAATAAAAATACAGAATTTCACTGAATATTGTGTCAATCATATCATGCTTCATTGATTTCAGTTACTTGGTTAGTGCCCACTAGGTATACTCCTCTCAAGTCTGTCTACATTTTAGATTTATTTGTGAAGTAACAGCCTGCAATATATTTGACTTCAAATGGTAGTGTAATTAATGTCATTAACAGATTGTCTCCCACCCTGGAAAAGTTACTCCATTTAAAGAATAACATAGATACATCTGTAAGTTATCCTAGTGTTAAAATATTTCTAATTTATTATTAAAGATTCCCATGGATCTTATTTATGTATGGAAAAGTGATACTTTACAGTTAAAACCTTAGCTATAGAATTTCTTTTAGGAGTACAAAGTTAATTTCATTTAGTGGTTGTAAGCTGTTGCATAAGTTTCGGACACTTCAGTGCCCCTAAGTAGATTTAGCAATGCAATGTCATGTACCTGAAATAGAGAAGTACATAATTTTCTTAGAAACTTCTTTAAAAAAAAAAAAAATCATGGTAGTAATTATTTGCAGTGTTGAAATATGAATGCTCAAGGCTCAGTCCACACTGCTACTCAGTGCTGTCTAATCCACGTGGATTTTCAATAAGGAGATGGTAGTTCAGAGACACAGGTGTTTGACGGAGAGGAAAATCATTGCGGTGGCCATCAGTGTGGGACTGATAGCAGGACTGTGATCATCAAGGGTAGAGCAACACAAGATGAAAATGTGGGAGAATTGAGCAAGTTATGGGAATTTTTATGGGATGTTCCATTTAAATTCTTCTTGTTTATCCATTAATGTGCAGTCTGAAAAATCTGGAAATGAAACAGCTTAAATTTTTTCCCCTCACAGCACTTGTTTATACGCAAGGAATCTTGTCAGTAATATAAAACTGACATTATGCATCTGAGATTTCAACTGCAGTATTGTTTTAATAGTCTCTTTATTTTTCCGACTTGCTTGATCTTTGAAGAATGAAAATGGGACTGACTGCATTTTCAGATACAGTCTCTAAAATGTAATCTTTGACATAGTGAAAATTCCTTAGTTTGCCTTTGAATAATGTGTCTGGACTCTAATCCTGCAGCCTGTGTAACAGCAGTATTCACTTAACAGTGAAATCGCATGCAGTTCTGGTTGCAGGAGTGAGACCCTCGTGTGGTAGTATGTACATACAGAAAGTAATATGCTGTGCAGTCACAGCATACTGGTTTTGTATGCTTAGAGTAATTTCTCATGAAATATCTCTTCTGTTAATAGAGTACCTGTTCTTAATTGCAAGCCGGTGGATATGGGCCAGAATGTGAGGGTAGAGTTGACAGAATGCTACCTGAAATAGTATGTTTTTTTGTTTCACATTCCAAGTTTTTATTTTATTTAAAATAGGGGGTTTTACAAACCTTAGAAGATTCAGGGTTGGTTGGTGTTCTCTTAATTTCCTTATAGGAAATTATCAGCCAAAATATGGGGAGGTAGGTAGTTGGAATGAAATTATCTGTTCAGTTATGATGATGTTACCCCCTTCATCCTCTCCGTGTTTATAACTATCCTTTTAAGACTAGTCATCATCATAACTTCCTATAGAAGTTGCTTCTAAGAAGGTACTATTTGCTGGGTAAAAAGTAACATTTAAAAAAAGATGTTTTGCCTCTGTTTCTTTGAAAAGAAAAGGACATTCAAATTAGGAGGCAAAATGAATGTAAATTTTTTGTAGTTGTATATTGCTATCATGTCAGTGTGTACTGTACTTATGTATTAGATGCACTCATTTTATCTGTCCTTCATGTGTTGAACCCTCTTTCAATGCCATTGCCAGTGCCGTTCTTCTAACCCTTTTTATTTCAGATATGGCTCTTTTTACTGTAAATATTTAAACCAAATTCAGTATTTGGTATATGATCGTCTTATTAAAAATGCTTTTGCATATGTCAGTCGATTTTTGTATCCTCTATTAAAGGGTGTAGCTGCATGAAACCTTACAAATTCAGTGGGGTATTTTGCTAATATACAGTGGAAAACAATCCTGAAATGGAAGGGTGCTCAGTTAAGTGAGATGTGGTATTGTTTTGCTTTCTAACTTTAATGGTTTATCCTGTCAGACCTTATAACTACTGCTGCACATTGAGCTGTCCACAATGACTCCTAATTATTTTTCTCAGAAGACTGGACTAATTTGAACTCATAGAGTATTTAGATAAAATCATTTCTCTTTGTGTGCATTACATTATATTTATTTGCATTTCATCTGCTGTTGTATTACTCAATTTTCTAACTCAGTTAGATCTTTCTGGAAATCTGTATTCTCCACAGTTTTTACTAACCCAAATAATTTCCTACTACTGGCCAATTCTACTGTTTCACTGTCTGCTTCCACTAATTGATGTTAACCATTGTTTTTAATGTCTGGTATACACTACATGGTTAACTTCTGCCCTCTCTGAGCATCTTGGTTAATGTCTTGGTTATCTGAACTTTACTTATGAGATAAAATTCTTCAGATAATCAAAGGCTTGGAGAAGTAGTCACTAGAGTTGAGCTGAGAAATCTCTCAAGTACATAGTGTAAGCGTTCTTCTGTTGTTTATAAAGGAGCTAAAGTGCTTAGCAAGAGCTTGAGCACAGAGTTGTGTTTGTAGAAAGTGCATGGCTGTCAGACTTCTAGGGAGGTCTTGTCATTGAAGTAACCATAGGATTCAGATAATGAAGTTTCACCAAGGTACAAGAGAGAAAACCAGGTATTATCAAAATATCAAGTGTAAAATATAAGTTACAGCAGTATTACATTTTATGTACATTTGTCCACATTTATACATTATAAATTTTTTTTTGCTGTAGAATGGAACCTTACAGTCTGAATGCTCGGGGGACATATTGCTGATCAGATCAGTGAAAGTTTGTATTAATCCAGTGTGGTGGGTGTTAGTTTAAATTTGTATTATTCTGACTGTATGGGTGAGCTTTTTGTCATTTGTAACCTGTTTGTGTATGAGAAATTAGCTTAAGCGTGTGTGTGTTCTAAAGGCAGTGACACATGGATAGGAGCAGAAGAGACAGCAGAAGGAAGGGTAGGAGATTAGCGTTTGGCTAATCATGGTATACTGACTAATGAGCTCTAGAATGATGGCACTTTGCAATACAACAAAGAGGTGGTTTTTTGAGCTGTATGTAAATCGTCCAGCAACCGGCAGATTTTTCCCAAACTGATTTTATTTCTGTGTAGATCAAGTAACATTTAAAGAATGGACAATAGTTTTTGGAGCCCATTTTGCCCTTTTTTCTACAACCTGTCTCTAGTGCTAAAAATATATCTTCCTTTTTTTTTTTAACATGGTTTTCTTTCTATATTCAATAACTCCTTCCTTTCTCAGGTAAGATAAATTGTGACTTCTTATTTATCAAACTTATGCTGTATTTGCTTTAAAATCTGTTTTTCTTAATGAAAAGGAGTTACTTGAGAAGCTTAAGAAGTGTATCACTGTTGTGGGGGTTTTTGGTTTTTGTTTTTTTTCTAAACTTGGGTGGTTCCAAGTAGTTGTAGGATACAAACCAGTAACAAACACAGACACTGGATGATATCAAGGTGGTTTTCAGCAGGTTGTCACACACAACAAGGGGGGAAAAAATGGAGCTCTCATTTTTGGGGATTTGTTTCTGAAAATGGGAGCCATTTTTAGTGGTCAGAACCTGTTCCTGAGAGGTTGATGAAGTAACATTAAAGGTTCTTCTCACTTGAAGTCACTTGAGTTCATGCACATGATGAAGGAAAGCAATTTTTCTGTGTGGTGTTTGCTACCTAAATGAATAACATGACATATGATCTTTCCCAAAGGGAAGCTGAAGAATCCAAAGCAGGTCATAAAATAAAATGAAAAATTATCATTACTGGTGTTCAGCTGACTAGTTCAAATCAAGAGGCATTCCTTGTTATTAGATACATTTCACTCATTTACGACTTCTTTTTCTTTCTTCATCACCTCTGCAGCAATTCTTGCAACGTGTATCATACTATTTTATTCATGTGAGTTCAGTGTCAATAGCCCCAAACTGAAGGATTTTACAGTTTTGCTTTTTTTTTTGGTTGAAGTAGTACAAAATGTCAAAAATTAGAAGGAAGGTCACAGTGGAAAATACCAAGACCATATCCGATAGCACATCCCGAAGACCCAGTGTGTTTGAAAGGCTTGGACCCAGCACTGGAAGTACTGCAGAGGTGAGTTGTAAAAGTGTTCTTCTTTTCCTCCCCACCCCAGCATCTTCTTTTCCAGGATTTAGGTGGTGGGAAAGAGTAGCTCACGAGTACCAAATACTCAGATGTGACTGATGTTAGTAAAGGTGAAAAGAACTCCTTAACGCATGGATGTTCAACATACTAATACTAGAATTTTCAAATAACGTGTGTTGTCCCAGCTTCTGGAGAGGAGCACTAGTACTGTACATATTAATAGTATTTCCACCAACCTAAATTTTTCTCTGCCAGACCTGATGCTCATTGTTGATTATTTTTTTTAATTAGTTATATTACTGGTGGATAGAATTTACAGATAAGTGGGAGTTAATGTGGAGTCATTTGTTTGTTCTGCCACACTCACGCCAATGGTATTTCCAGAAATGAGTGTGAAATTCACCCAGTAATGTCTGTCTCTTAGACACAGTGCCGTAACTGGCTGAAGACTGGCAACTGCCTCTATGGGAACACATGTAGATTCGTACATGGCCCTTCACCACGAGGTAAAGGCTATAGCAGCAGTTATAGAAGGTAAATCAAGAACTCACTTTGAATTCTTCACATGCTGTAGGAAAATAGCTTTTGCAACTATGTCTTCTGTTGTTGTTTTTTTTTTTTTTTTTAAAAAGGTGAAATGCTGTGATGTGCCTAATGGTATGTTTTATCAATAACCAATTGCATTGTGAAGCTGCTCAAAACAATTAATTTGGCAACTTGCAGTGGGTTTTCCCAGGATTTTTGTGTGTATGTAGCTTTAAAAAAATGAATGGAGTCCTCTGGATGCAGATTAACTTCTTATATTACATGAAATGGGAAGTTCAGGTACCTTAATACTTTGGTTTTTTGGTTTTGTTTGTTTTGGTTGGTTTTTGTTTTTTTTTTTTTTTTTTTTTTGCAGAGTGTCACTGCAGCTTCTGATACGCCTTTCTGTCCTTTACTAAAATGCTGTTTTGAAACTACTTACAGCAGTACTCACATACTTGCAGCCCTTCTGCCTTTGCTATATTGTTTGATGAATAAGGTGTCTATCCTTTCTCTCCTGTTGTGAGAAAACACTTCTCTTCAAAACATAGTTTTGTGACTTTATCTGTCAGATATAGAACAAGTACCATAGGAAGAGATCCAAAAAGTTACTTCGTTTTTCAGAAGATAATATTTTTTTATTATCTGCCTCTTCATATGTTACTATAATTTAAATGTTTGGTTTTTTCGACTGTCCTTTGTGTGGCATAACACCTTACTGAACTGAAACTAAAAGTGGCAGTAAGTTTGTAATATTCTTGCTATAAAGGACAAAAAGATAGTATAGTTTTTAGCATAGTACCTCTTTGTATGAAGGCTTTACATTTTACGAACAACTGTGCTTCATAATGCTACAGTAACGTCAATGTTACCTCTAGATTATGGATGGGCGCACTGAAGCATCAAAGTGTAAAGCAACAGCAGGAAGGTTGGCATGAGGTTAGGGTTCTGTTTCTGGCTCTTTTTCCTATTCCTGTGGCATCCGCTCAGGATGATCTTGACTTTGCTTGTTTGATCTTCCATTGCTTCTAAGGTGGTAGCAGCTGGGATACAAAATATATCACTGAGTTTAATGTTTCTTTCGGTGTGTAAAAGATTTTACTCTGTTCTGTACTGAATGTTCCAAATGGGAAAAAGGAGTGATTTACAGGCAGAGATTAAATTTTAAAACTGTTAGAATGTCACTTTCTCCTTGCTTTCAGTGTTTGGAACACTCAGTGCATAGTTCTGCTTGGTCATTTGAAGAAAAGTGACATTTCTTTTAATGATTAAAGCTATGTTTCTGCTTCACTGTCACCACTGACATTTAAGAATAATGTTGATTTGCTTCTTTTTATTGCTAACATTTTTTTACTAGGACTATATGAAAAAGTCAAAGGACAAATCTTGCTGCTTATTTGCCTGATACATTCAACATTTAATAAAGGCGTTCTTAAAAATAAAAAGGAGGAGGAAACCCCTACGTACCCGCCCAAACAGACAAATGAAAAAAGCATGCTTGTCTTCCGAAGTTTCTACTGATAGCTCTTGGCCAGGCACAGAAAAAGCTGTTTTACGTACATAATAAAATGTTGGCATTTTCATGCCATTTAACATTACAAGAGATTTTTACAAATGTTATCCAGGTATTTTGAATGCAATTTTATTGGCTTCTTGCAAGCCAAACTAATGCTGCTTCCACATCAGTTCAGTTCAAGCAGTATTCTTGTTAAAGTATCTGGGACAACATAATGGTGGCATGTCTACATGTGTTCAGCCAGGCCTGCTGGTGAAATCTTTTGTCTGCTTTGCAAGCAGTTTGATAGGACAAAGCACATCTTGCTGCCTTTCTGTCTTGCCCCTTCAATTTTATACCCATCTGAAATAAATCTAATTGTTAATGGTTTTATCTGACCATAATGCCTTCCATAGTTCAGAACATCACCAGACAGTAGGAAAACTTGACTCTAAAGTGTGAAAGAGACTCTTAAATCTGGTTTCGTTATAACTCCGTTTCAGCATTAATGCTGCCTCTCACAGCATGAATTTTAATCTTGCTGTTATAAAAATAAACCTAGCATGTTTTTACCTATAAAGCTTTCCTGATGAGGATATTAAGAATTCCATAATAGGCCTGCCGGTCTTCCAGGCATCTGAAGTAAGGAGAAGCTATCAAGGAAAGAGCTGTGTGTAAACATGCTATCCCACAAGGAATTTTGCTCTCCTGCTCCACTCATAGATTGCCTGTCTGATCCTCTTCATTCTGGATCATTATACTGGATTTAAAAACCAAACCAAACCAGCAGTAATCTTAGGTAAGAACATGTGGATTTTGAAAGGTTCAAATATTGTTGTATGGGAAACTGAAAAACAGGACAGTGCTTCATGAGCATATAATTATAATATGTACATTATACATTAATAATTGTCATCTGCCTATACGTGCACATGTGTGCAAGCACACACATACACCCCGATATTCTCAGACACGTGTGTTGTAATGTGTGCCTGTTGCTAGGTAGTTGTTCCTGACACTGTGAGAAGCACAGAAGCAAATGGAGGCACTGTTATGAATGTGCATTTCCTAACCAAGCTACTGACTATGGAGAACTGAACTGTTGCAGGAAGTAATGCTGTTTAAAATTACTTAACTGCACTGCTTAAAATTTGAAATTATTAAATTCTGCATTTTAGTCCTTATTGAAAAGATGGGTCCAGCACAAAATATTAAGTCATTAAAGAGAAATTTTTCATTGAGTGGTTTTCTTCTTTCAGTGTACAGGGATAATGCTGTGGAGCCTTTTGCATGAAAGGTTCTACCAGTTGCAGTCTAGCCACATCATCTTAAACTGTAGAGGTAAAATTGTAGTGATCTTGAAATACAGCAGTGTGCATGACCTAGAATAACCAAAGATTCTTTTTGGAGGGGGAGTGGGGGGAAAGTTATGTAGAAAAGAAGCCATTGTGTAAAAATTAGAATTGTGGTACACCTGAAAGAAAAATCAGCTAGTAGACCAGCTTGATTTTCTGTGCATTAAGCCAAAGTATCTGAAAACAGTTACAGCCTCCTGAGTAATTATATCTTAAAATTTGACAAATTTTCAGTCTTGTATTATTAGACTTTTTGAGGGGTTATGATGTTTTTTGGCAAGGAGGGGTAGGATGGTTACCATGACTTCACTCCAGTGTTCTCCTAAAGCTAAAAAAACCACCAAACCCCCAAAACAACAGAACCAAACAAAAAACCACCAACAACCCCCAACCCTGAAGCTATAGCTTTTTTCATTTCTGTGATTTCTTGATAACTTTTGTAATCTTTAAGTAGATTTGAATAATGTTTTAACAAACTAAGGTTTTTTTTTCCTTCCCTCCTGTACTGAAAACGGTGTTAATTGAGGGTGAAACAGTTTGGATGTTTTTTCACTACAGCATATGACCTTTTTTTAAAAAAAAAAAAAAGTACTAAAATATCAGATGTCTCTCTAGAAAGTACATGAGCTGCATTCAGTGTAAGTTCTCTTACTTTCTCCTTCAGCTACTGGGGTTTTTCCTGAAATTGTTCCTCTTGAGGAACAACATTATCTATAATCTTTTTGCCTTTTAAATTAATTTTCAGTTTCACAAATCCAAATCCTTTGTGCCATGGCTGAAATATTATTAAAAATTAAGGCATTGAATTGCCACTTTAATGTTGAAAGACAGTTTATTTGTTGAGGTAGCTGGTGGTTGGAATGCTTTGGAGAGTTTTGGTAATGCAAAGGAATTATCTTTCTAAGATGGAGGGAGGGAAAAAAAAAATACCTTGAATACCTTTGCTAAAGCCAGACACTTTAAAGATGATATAATCATGCATGCAAAGAAGATAACTTGTTTATGTTTGTATGCTGGATATTATTTGATCTTTCTTAGTGCTGAAGGAAGCAGCACGCTACTGTTTTGTACCTTTCCTCTGATCTAGATTGACATGTATTTACAACTTCATGAATTAAATGCATTTAAAAATGAGAGCAGTCACTGGTCTTTTTCTTCTTAGATCCTAAGACACTTAACCTTATGATGCAGTTTAAAGAATTAAATATAGATAACATTGCAAAAGAGGAAGTGGAAACCAATTACTGTTTTTTCAAATATGCACAAGTTGAAAATGAAATGATATTAATTTAGATATTTGTATGCGTAAACTGTGAAAGATAGTTTACCCTTTGTGTATTATGTGACAGAGGAAGGGTGGGAGAAACAACACTTTCTAAATGGAAACCCTAATTCAGTCTGAAAAACAAAACAAATGCAAATTTCATTATTCAAATATTATATATAGCTCTTCTAATCACCTAAGGCAGCATCAGTATCCCTTTATGATTCTTTAGTGAAAAATGATAGGTACAGATCCAGTACTTTCACACAACCATTTCACAGAAGAATCTGTAATTACGGCTAACAGCCATCACAGAAGTACCAAACTCAATATCAAGCCAGATTTATATGAAGAGAAAATGTATTGTCCTGAATTGAAAGATCATTTGAAACAGCTCCTACACCCCCTTTTTTTAGGAAGTTGTTTGAATGCAAGAGTTGTTCTCTTTTAACCCATAAGGGATAAATGAACTTGTGAATCCGTACTAAGAGGTGACAAAATTATATAGATGTCTTGTGGTAGTGTAGGATGTTCCTCTCCCTTCCCACATCACAGTAATAGCTTTTACAGATAATATACCTTAAAGTTGCATGACTAGTAGAGTTCATCCAATATTTTGTAATTAAATAATGAAATAATTATGTTACTGCAAGATGGAAAATGGAGGAGGCCTCCAAGAGTGAATTTCTGGTGCATGGACTTGCAACAGTGGTTTTTTTGTGTGGCAGTCTCACCAAGGCCATGGGAGGATGGCACCTAGGTCACGTTGTCTCCACTTGCAGGCTTCATCCGTATTCAGAGTTGTGCTTCTGTGTGACTATCATTGCTAGTCTACAGTAGTTTGACTCTGCATTAATTGTATGTTTTTATATATATAAAAATATGTATTATATCTATATATTAAAATTGGTGCAGCTTAGAATACGGAGAAGGCTAAAGATATCTTGAAGGACTTGGTAGGAGTGATTGTGAAACACATTTGCATGATGGTCAGAAAAAGAGTTTTTCTGGATAAGATCACCTGACTGATCTAGAGTAGTAACTGAGTCATGCCATATATACATACAAGTAGGTTTTCTTCTTAGAGTCAAGGCTTCCTTGATGTTCTGAAAGAGCTGGTTTTTTAGAATGCTTAAGCCCATTTGAATGGAATATTTTTTTATTCATTCACTTCACTTCTGGGTGGGAGGTTTAGATCTTTCTGTATATACTAATAAAAAATAATTAAAAGACAGATTGTATTCCTTTAAAAATAGTCCCGTAGAACCGGTTATATTATGTTTCTGTATTATACAGGTCACCAGAAAGACCCACTGGAGATCTTCGGGAAAGAATGAAGAACAAACGTCAAGACGTTGAGGCAGAGCCACAGAAACGAAGTACAGAGGAATCGTCCGCTCCTGTTAGGGTAAGAATGGAGTTTGCAGAACTCCAGAATCCCTCAGTAGCAATTGGGCAGTGTGTCCTAGAAACTTGATCATGGTGACTTGTAATATTTAAAATGTTTTAATGAACTGATAATTTTGTACGTAGCATGTGGCATATTTTATTATGAAGTGTCTTAACAATTGTATTATTTTGCAATTTTATAGCACTTTCTGGTCTTTTGGTTCCCAAAGATTTTATAAATCCCGCAGACTAAAATATGTTATAAATACTGATAAACAGGTGTTTAATAACAGTGCAGAGTCTTTGATGATTACCAAGAAAGTGTATTAACCGTTGTTCCAATCATCCACTATTTTTCTCCCAACACGTATTCATTATTTACATGCATCCTGACTCCAGTTGTTCATCCCAAATTTGCTTTTGATGAGACCATGCAGTTACTGTTGTGCTAGTTCATTTTGCCTTCCTCCTCACATACTCATCAGCCATCCCAACTGCTCACTTTTGGATTTTGCAAAAAATTCATTCATTACCATTCTCATTTTCTAATCATCTTTCTACAACCCTGTACCCCTCAAATATCAGAAGTTACTTATTTTTAAGTTGTGTTATCTGTTCCTGATGTTACAAACAAATAGGGGCAGAGTTGGTAGTGTGACCCTGCACCTGTGTAACAATATCACCAGTATATTCCTGCGTCATGTTTTTTAAGACCATCTTCGTATGAATAATGATTAAAAGGTTTTATTTGTGAAAAATCGGTTTTGCTTCTGCAGGTATTAACAGCATTCTTTTTTTTTTTTTTTTTTCCTCTTGGTCTGTTCGTACTTGCTGTGTAAAATGAATTTTTATGTCAGGTGTAAAGAAATCAACAGCAGCTGCTATCATTAAATTAACAGAATGGCTTACCTTCCAATCATGTTTTCAGTTGCTGTTAATTTGTGTAAACTTCCAGTCTTTTTACTCTTCTACTTAAATGTGTTTCTTTTATTTTCTAATAGTTTGAATAAACTGTTCAATTATTGAGTACATGGTTGGTGGGAAAAGTGTTTTTTCCAACCGTTATTAAAAATTTACCGTGACTTCTTCTCTCCTCGTACAACTCTAATTTTGATGTAATTCTTACTTTTGGTTAGTTAACCCTGCTTTTTATAGTGTTCTATTAATGCAATAATAAAATACTCTTAAACAACTAAATCCCAAGTAAAAGTGAACTGGAAGGAGGAATCAAAAGGAATCAGAGAATTAGTGGGTCTGTTAAAGTACCAAAGAATTATTTACAGAATAAGCACACTGTAGAGAAAAAAATACTCTGCTTCAATCTCATAAAACAGAAGGCTGAGGAAACTACTGAGCTTTTGTATTAGTTGCATGGAGGCAACTCTCAAAATATGGGATATCCAAAGAAAATATTCTGGAACAAATAGATGAAGAGGGACAGGTGTCAAGACTTGCATTGCAAAGAACCAGAATATCTAAAAGAACAGAATACTGAAGTGACTGAACTGCTAACAAAAATCTTGCTCCATTGTGAGAGCTACTATTATGGTGGAGCTCTAATATCTGACGTTTCCATCTCTTATTAAAGCTTTTGGGATAACAGAGGAGCTGGATAAGAAATCTTAACTTTTGTTTTGAAATAACGAAAAGTAGCTTGTTCCATAAAAAGTTTCATAATCGTGTTTAAAAAAAAAGAAAGAAAGGAAGAGCAGCACTGTTCCTGCAGACAAAATTAGTGCTTCACCAATCTACTAGCCTGAAACTTTAATGGAGAGTAGTGGCTAAGAGAGAACTGTCTGATACAGGTCAAACCTTAGCTTCTTTTGAAACAAGGCTTTTGAGGCATATAGATAGTCAAAGAATAGCAGGTATTAATATTGTCAGGTTTAGAAGCTAGCTAAGGGCAAAATATTAGATTAATTTCAAATGATGAAGTTACAGAGGATGCTATGGTGCTTCATCTAAAGAGCTGTAACTTTTTAAGAATGTGGAAAAAATGTTGACATCCCAAATGTCAAACTTTGCAGAAGATACGGAAACAGTACTTGAGATTACTAGAGCCTGAGGAATGCAGTAGGAGTTGGTGAAAGATAGTTTTTGGCAGTACAATGGCAGATGAAACTTGGTGTTGACAAGTGCAAGGTAATGCACAATGAAGAAAGTATTTAAAAGAAAAAATCATGAATGAATATTTTAAATGTAACTGAAACCATCCAGTAGAAAAAGAAGTTATTGTGGACAGCTCAATGAAACCATCTGTTCAAAGTGCAGTCACAGTTGCAGAAGCAAACGCTCAAGTATATAAAAATGGAATAGAAAATGATCAATATTATGCTGTAGAAATTCATGGTCCAGTTTCATTTGAAATGCTGTTTGGTTGTGATCACCTGTATGCAAGAAAATACAGTCAACGGTCTTTTTGAAGTGGGCATGGAGGTGAGAAAGAGACTGGAGAGAAGAAAGGCCATGTGGCGAATGCATGTAATGTATGATTGAGAGAATGTAAATTAGATGCGTCATATTCATACTTTATCCCAGTAGAAAGAGTGGCAAATTTGAAAATGACAAGGGGAAATGCTATTTACATTATATATGACAATTCTACCTGATTGCCAGAAGATACAGTCAAAAACCTGACCAGGTTCCACAAAAAGTTGAGACAGTATAACTAGTATAAAATCTTTTTAGAAAAGATTTCTTGTTCTTTGGAGACATAAGATAACTAGTATAATCTGTATGTATTCAGGAAGAAACTTCCTGTATGGACAGCTTATAGAATATATCCCTTATTATTTCTTCATGTCTTGTACTATTATTTTCAGAGACAATATGCTGTGTTATGTAGACAACTACATTGAACTCAGTTGTTTCTATGTTTCTCAGATTTGTGTTTGGAATTATTTCAGCACTGTATGCTAGTGTATCAATTATTATACAAATAATTAGATAAGGTTCCTTCCATTATTGTATTTAGTTGGAAATTTTTGTGTTGAATTTTTCTCTGTATTATGAGAAGGCAGTTACATTGGAGTATATGAAGTATTACCTAAAGTATTACCTGGGAGGTGTGTGTGATTTGGGAGAAACAGAGGGAAGAACTTAATGTACATTTAGGAAAGGTTTTTGTAAGGAATGTGTATCACTTGCTTCATATCTGTGCTTTTTGTCACTGTGGCTTTTGAATATCTCCACTGGAAATGGAAGTCGGCATTCTCTTCCATCTCTGAAAGGGAAACAATACCTGCTCGTGTCAGGGAAACTTCAGATTCGTTTTCTTGTATGCTTGTGTAGTGTGGTAGTAGTTTATACTATAAAGGTATTATACCTAGAGCAAAATAGTACTGTGCTTGCCCAAAAGATTCTAGCTGTAATACATGATAGCTTATTCTAGATTTAAAGGAATCTGTGCTTTTGAATTAGTTTATATTGCTGCTGCATGTACATGTGCTGATAAGGCTGAAACTGAAGCTTCTGCCTTGTAAGAATTGTAGGTTGTAAGAGTCTTATAAATATTCTCTCCATCGGTGTTGGCAAAATAACACTTCTTGGCTAGAAGCATGTTTTGCAGACTGGATGAGTCCAAACTCTTCTGGCTGTAGAGGGGAATTCATTCAAGTAGACATCAAGTCTTGTGCTGTAGAGTGCTGATCATATCTTATGGGGTGTGGAACTTCAACTTAAGTAGACATTAAATTAAATAAAATATCACAGAATTCAGCCATAGTGTCGTATTTTTTTTTCCTTTCTTAAGTAACATTTCTCCTGAACGTCAACATTAAACTGTAATCATCTATTCAACACATGTAAATAGTTTAACTGTGAGCACATACCAGAAAACAGCATAGACAAAGTCTACTAAGTTGTTGTTTACTCTTAGGACAATCTACAGTATTTTTTTAGTAAATAATTATATTATTATGGAAGTGTATTGTTTCTCATCTAGTAAATGGCATTTTTTCAGAGTCTGCAGAGAAATAGTTTACAAGTGTGGCTGAAGTGGATACAGCATCTTCAAGTACAAGTGAAAGACATGCTATTGTCCTTTAGGAGCTTGACTTATTTTATTCTTGGCTTATTAAGGGAGAGATGAAAAAAAACTGTAAAGTACAAAAAGGTCTACAAGGATATGAAGGAAATATTTACTTCCCATAGTATGAGGGAATTAAATGCGTTGTAAGTGGAACAAGTACAATAGAAGGAATATGTTGAAGACTTCTCAATGAGAAAATTCGAATGTGTTCTAAACCATCATAACTTAAATTCTTGATTTGCGTGCCCCAGGAAAATATACTCAATTTCTAAACTGAGATTTGTTTTTCAAAGTGCAACATTACCAGAATCTTTTTTCCTGACAACTAAACTGAAGTAATTTAGTGCATGAACGGGCTCGGATCAAGTTGTCCTGACTTGTAAAACAGCATGCTTGCATAAAAACTGTCTATTCCCTTCCCCTATATTCAATAATTCAATAAAATTCCTTTCATAGATGTTTTTGTTCTCGGTTCTTCTGTAGAAGTATGATTGTGCCACTACTGAATCTCTCCACTGAAAGGAGAAAATACAGGGTGTTTCAAGATGCTTGTGTTTGGTTGTAAGTTTGGAGCTGTAGGCAAGATAAATACAGGTTGTGTAGTATTTTTAACATGGGTTATTAAATTGGTCTTGAAGCGTTCTGGCTTATCTGCACGTTCTCTGCCAACAAGTTATTTGGGGAATTCGTTTTAAGAAGTTTTTTGAAATCGGTATATAGAGGCTGTCCTAACGTGTATTTCAGTTTGCTAGTAACAAATAGTGTTGAATTCATAGAAACTAGTATTTGTATTTAAGAAATTATGTTTATTGTTTGTTTATATGGTAGGAATTAGTTGGAGTATATAGCAGAAGTACACAAGTTTAATAGAACAGACTGCCTTCAAGAAGGGCAGTCTAGAAAAATTAAGATACTCTAAGAAAAAAAAGAATGGTTGCAGGAGAGGCCTGTTGATAAAGTTACAGATTTTCAGATCTCATCAGAGTAATTTTCTTTTAAAGTAACTTGCTTTGGAGCGTAGTACAATTCTTGCTCTTGGACTGAAATGCCTTTAGCACATGTTGTGATGATGCCTTAGTTGATGTAGACTTGTCTGCAGTTTATGTCAGCAACAACATGACTTGATAGGCTAGGATCTTGTGCATCATTTTAGAGATCCTGTCATGAAATGGAGAAAAATAACTTTTTTTTTTTCCCTTATTATACAAGCTGCTTTAAATTAAACATGACAAAAATTAGTTCCTTTAATGTGAAGTTCCTTTCGTGTTATATAGCAACCGGTCAGTTTTTTCCAAACCTTCTAAGACTTTGAATGTGATATACTGAATGCATCAAGATGAGAGGCTTGAAGATAACTGTGTTGAAGCATCTGTTCTAGTTCACTAGGTAAAATAAATGCAGTACTTGTTCTGTCATCATTTACATCATTAAACTAGAGATAAGATTTTAACATTGTTAGTGAATAAAAAGGGATAGTTGAATTTTAGTCACTTGGGAGTGACTATCCACAATGTTACGTTATTTCCTTACTGTGTTTCTAAGGTGATATTAAGCATTTAAATTAAGTAGAGATCTAAGTCCTAATAAGGAATAGCTAGTGAAATTCTCGGGCATCTCCTTTTCTTGGCATAAAAACAAAGGTTCCTACACTGAAGAAACCCCAAAAGGCAAACGAAGGCACTATGGGAGGTGAGAACAAAAGGGATATGGGGCAGACTTTCATTATTTGCTCTTTCTGGTTTCCTACTTAATAAATTAACCTGAGATACTTCTGAGCTTGAATGTTCTTTTTTTGCAAATAGTGAAAAAACTTCATCCTGTACTCCCCTTGAGCCCAGGTAGATTATTTGGAGAATGTCAGTTCAGCAGAGGCAATGATGGAACTGTGCAGCTTTACTACTGGAATTTAGCAGGGGGAGAAGCGCAGCACAGGTTCAGTTGCCTTATGAAATTATCTTCTTTCCTGTAAGAAATAGTCTCTGGCTTCCTTAGGTGTCCACAGGACCATCTGCCACATGCAAAATGGGTGCTACTGCAACAGTTAGACTTGTCTAATAACTCGGGGCCAGTGAAAGTTCAAATATAAAGCTGTCAACAAAACTTGATTCCAGTGTGTTGCTTTAGACTTTTTTCCCCCCTTCCTTCTGCCAGCCAAGGGTCTCCATTTTTTTATTTTATTATCCCCCTTCCATTCTTTATCCTCTGGAGAGTTAAATGGTTCAGCTTCTGAGGCTCATCTACCTTGCATATAAATATTCTTATTTACAGCTGAGAATTCTTACTCCAGCTGTTAAAATTATACTCTTTAAATGTTCATTAAACTTCTGGTCTTAAGAACTTGATCTGTTCTTTCGGTTCCTGTTTTAAACTTTATTCTCTGATACATGCTCGCTTCTTGCCCTGCCTTTAAACCGTCTTATTTTATGAATCCTTTCTTCTCTTTTCCCCATCTGCTGTTTGCATACTGATTATATGAAATTGCTTTAGAACATGTTGGCTGTGGGGTCTCTGCTTATTTAAGAAGGTATTTGTTCAACAGGCTAAGGGAGAAAATGCTTTTTGTACTATAAAAAAGAAACAGACAAAATACCATGTAAAATATACCTGCTTCTTCAGGCTTCTTTTAAAATAAAGTTGTTTACTCTAATGCAGCATTTTTCCCTTTATAGAAAGAGTCTTCACGAGGAAGACATAGAGAAAAGGAGGATATCAAAATTACAAAGGAGAGAACACCAGAAAGTGAAGAGGAAAATGGGGATTGGGAAACAAATAGAGAAGGTAAGTATAATTAAACTAATGGTCTCCCTACAGCTCAAAGAATTGCAAGATTACTGGGCTGTATGTAAAGCAGAATGCTTAAAGATTTTGTCTTAAAGCAGAATACTTTTATGCAGTAGCCAGTAATGTTTATTTTTGGAGGAGAGCAAAGAAGCAATCTGAGTTGGACTGCTACAATGGTAAAACCAACTTATTTTAAAAACGCATGCTTTTTTTTTTTTTTTTTTTCTTTTTGACTCCTCAGACAACAAGGAACTTGGTCATAGGCTACTCCATGGCTGAACCTTTCACATAGACCACTAATTGAATCCAGGTTACATCCAAAGTAATTTTGAAACTGCTCAGGAGAGAGCATAATTCCTTTGCATTCAAAAGTTAGCAGGTTTTTGTTGCATAATTTGTAATGGTGTGAACTGTCTCATTGACAAGGGCTCCATTAGAACGGGTATAACAACAGCTGAAGGTAGCAATCGGTGAACTCTTTATATTTAGAATACACTCGAAGAGTAGCAAGAGTCTTGCGTTACTTTCTGTAGTCGATTTTGTTTGGGTCGTGGTTTTTTTGTTTGCTTTGTTTTTTTATTTAATGGTTAAAAGGTGATTTCATTGTCCTTGTTGATAATACTCATGTTTAATATGCAGACAGTTGAGGAGAAGACTCTTTATTTTCTCCCCTCTCTCCTGAGTTTCACTTTTGTTAGAGACCAAGTTCACCTCACAGTGAAATTATGGCAACTTCTAATGAACTGTGGTATTTATGTAGTTTTGTAAGTGTCAGTGTTACAGAAGTAGTTACAGTATTGCAAGAGAAGATGGGAATCCTGATCCATTCTGAGTGAATTCGGGTATAATGAATGTGTTTGCAATAAAGTATACAACAAGTTGTTTGTGGGATGGAGCTCCTCTGTAAATTTCGTTAAGTAGGTAGCTTTTCTACAGTATGTGCTGTAAGTGTTGCAAATATTGTTTTGCTGTGTCTTCTGCACAATACCTGAATAGAAAAGTAATGATAATATATTTTGACTTCTTTCTAAATTTTGTTTTCAGCATGATTTAAGAAACATTGACCCATGACATGTATGCATGGAAATAGAATCTAAGTCAAAAAAGTTTGGAACATAAAAACCTCAAGATCTATATAAATGTATAGTAAGAATGTCTTAAGTCTTAGACACTGAGGCTTTCAGCTTGAGAATTATGATTTTTTCAAAATGGTGTTGATCATAGCTATGTGGATGAAGTAGAATTACTGTCTGTTAAGTTCTAGTGAGTGCTGTATAAGCAGACAGATGGACTGGGAAAGAACCTATGCTGTTAGGAACTGCACCTCTCTATAAGCTGTTCCCATGCATTCATGACACATGAAAGAAATTTGTAGACTGAGTTTAGTTCTTGCAAAACCCTTATTTAGTTCCTGTGTGTAGGAAGGGGAGTGAAAGCTAATGACTTTTTAATGAAGTCATCTTTTCTCTGACAGTTATTTTCCTAAAGTGCTTTTTGAGCATTAGACTTAAATAGCCATAAACAAAATAAGAAATGTAAACAGTGAGTAAAACTGCTTTAATTTTCAGTAAGATTTCAGTTGCAAGGCTTGAAGCGTATGATATTAACTAGCCATGACTTAATGAAAAAGTGAGAGAAATAGCACCTTTTCTGATGTGAAAACCAAACAGTAATAATGTTTTAAAAACAGAAATAAACTCTTGAAGTGTGCATTTATGCTATGAAAGAGGTCATACAGACCTCTTTTTTTTTTTTTTTAACATTTTAAAATCAATTTGTAGATGTAATTAAGTATATAAATTGATTTGTGGGATACTCTATTAAACAAAATCCTCTAATATCGTGCATCTCTTTAAATCTGTTTCATGTGAGGTTTCCCAATTAAGTAGCGCTCTACATATTTCTGGTCTTTGTGAAGACAAACTCTTTTAATTTTTTTTGTTATTTAAATATAAATAAATGGATTACTGAGTTTCCCTTGCTACCTCAGCTTAATAATTGATGCAAGTCTCTGAAAGAAGTTAAGGTGGGTTTTTTTTAATGAAGTTTAAGAATTTAATTGCAGGTTGTACGGAACTAACTGGAGTTATTTCAGGTTTACATACATAATTGGAGAAGAGATTTGGCTTAGCTTTATTGATCCATTCATGCAGTGCTTAAAAGTCATGGAAATATTTATGCTTGGCATCCAGTTTGCTAAATATTATTATTTATTTCATATGTAATTGTTTACTAATATGTTTACTTTTTTAAAAATAAAGACTCTGATAATGGAGATGTTAATTATGATTATGATCATGAGCTGTCTTTGGAAATGAAGCGCCAAAAGATTCAGAGAGAACTCATGAAGTTGGAACAGGAAAACATGGAGAAACGAGAGGAAATAGTCATTAAAAAGGAGGTTTGTATTACATAACTGTGAAATTAAAAAAATAAGTCATCAGCCACTTCATAGGCTTCTAATTGTTTCCTGGAAGACTTGAGCTTTCTGGGCTACAAATGCACTATTGTGTTACATAGTAGTAAATAACTGGCACGTGTATAACTTAGTATGTGACTTGGATATTAGTTGTGAGTATCTGGTCAATCATCCAGCACCATAACCAAGTTTTCTGCTTTGTGAAGTCAGCTGTTGAATGAGTAGGATTTAATGCATTTTAATGATATAAAACTAATAAGACCTTTAACAGAGAAGACGTAGAAGAAAACACAAGGCATTTGTGAAGCTCCTTTTCCAACATGTCTTGTAGTAACAGAGTAGAGTGACAGAGGCCAAGCTGTAAGTGTTAGAAACCCTACGATTTTGGGGAAGATTTTAAAAGAAAAAAAAAAAAGAAAAAAAAAAAAGGCCTGAAAGGAGGTCTTCCTTTTTCAGACAAACTTGAGTGCTAACTGGGAGCATGCTGATTTTAAACTTTTAGTTACAGTTTTTGTAATGTATTACAGTGCATTATCTTTCTTCCCCCACCCTTTTCCTGTTGTCTTCCTTTTATAGTGTTCTTTGAAGAGAATGTGGTTAGTTTATTTGAGGTAGATGTGTACATGGTTAAGATCTCATATGTAGACTGTTACTGAATTTACATATTTGACATGTATATCAGCATACAGGTAAGCTTTTGGGCATCAATATCTTACCGGTTAATATCTTCTTTTCCTCAAGATTTCTCCAGAGGTGGTTAGATCTAAATTATCACCATCGCCATCACCAAGAAAGTCTAGCAAATCTCCAAAACGAAGATCCAGTCCCAAATCATCATCTTCAGCTAGTAAGAAAGAGAAGAAAGCATCTACTGTATCTTCCCCACTTTTGGATCAGCAAAGGTCAGTGTGTAGATACATCTTGCAAGAAAGTGAGAACAGAGAACCACACTGATTTTTGATTACTGGGGTTTTCATAATTAATATGTTTTTTTATTTTCTTTGCTTTCAGGACTTTCGATTATATAACTTTAGGGGAAGGTCTCTAAATTGTGCACTGTGAATCATCTTTTGCAGAAAATTGTTACATGCATGTAGTTGTCAGTTGATTAATTTCATGATTTACAAGCAGGTCTGTCTTTTTGAATGAGTGTCCAGAGTCTCTGGGAGGTGATGAGGAAACATAAACCATTAAAAAGTGGGAAGCAGTTTTATTTGAGATGCTGCAGCCTGTGATATAGCTCCTCTTAAACTGAAGTGAAACGTTTAAAATTTGACCAACTGCACAGTTTCTTGGTATTGCATATTGCTGTTCAGGAAATAAATTCCCTGCCTTGAAAGTCATACACTCTCAGTTCAGGAGGGGAAAAGAAGTGGGGGATGTGGCGGGGAAGGAAAAAAAGTAAGGACAAGGTATGTGAAAATCACAGGAAGTTCAAACTGGGCACCTTGCCACAAAAAGTCAATCTCCAAAACTCATTTCTAAGTTCTTGCTGGCTGCAGGACCTTTTGAATCACTGTTTGCAGCTTTTAAATAGGAAAGAAATTACTGCAGCAGTGTAAGCAGACAAGTCTGTATTTGCTAAGCAAAACCCCCCTTTAAAATAGGGACAAAACCATGTTGTTTCTGCTACGAGAAAGTACAGAGTGGGCTAGTATGCTACTGACATTCAATATGCAGTGATACCTACTTTAATAGGGTTTATGTCAATGGTAGTTTGTATGGAAAAATATATACTGTTTCATATTGTGAGATGCATATTCAAAAATATTTGAATGCTTTATCCCGTGTCAGGTTGTTAACATTAAATTGAAGACATGAGTTGTTCTAGTCATTTTGTGTATGTGATTGGGGTATTGCATTGTAGAAGTGGGAGTCGAAACAGATAAGATACTCTGTAGACTTCTGGTCCTCTGATGGGTGCAGTTCAAGCAAGGGCATTTTAACTTTGAAAACTGGGTCTGTCTGAATGGGAGCAATTCCTATTTTTGTTCACTTTCTTCAGAAATAAAGGTTATAAATGGGAGAGCTTAATGTGATTTTTTTACCATCTGCATTCACCCTTCAGTCACGTACAGTTATTGAACGCTGCTTGCTAATGGAGTGGTGAATCCTATCCTAAAAGCTTCAAGGCCCTTTACGTTACAACTTTCCTGCCAACATCTGAGAAATCATTATTTGAAATAGTTGGCAGTCCTTCATTTTTACCCCTCCTGTTAATTTATCTCTAGGAGTTCTAAAAGTAACCAGAGTAAAAAGAAAGGTCCTCGTACCCCTAGTCCTCCTCCTCCAGTACAAGAGGAAACTCCCCTGGGGAAAAAACACAAAGAAAAACATAAAGCAAAAGAACGCTCAGAAGAAAAGGCAAGGGAAGTGAAAGAGAGAGGGCGTGACTTTGAAAGGCACAAGGAGAAAAAAGAAAAGCAGAGGTAAGTTATGTTGCATTATTAGCTTTTAACATTAATGTAACCTTGCTTTTAAAGTTATCTTTTATAGAACACTGAATAATAAGGGATTTATACCTGCTTTGCCAACAACCTTTTCCATACTCATTAAATATTTTAAGCATGTTACATAGATGGATTGATAGACTATAACTAACAGATTGGTAGGTTCTAATTACATAATTTAGTAAGTTTGTAAAATGCCCTTTTGAAAGATTTGTTACTTTTCAGGAAGTTGGACCTTCACCAATGGAGCAATTCATTTGCCAAAATCTTTATCAAAGTCGTTCACTTGTCTGCTTGCCTGCTCTTCTGAAATCTTAGAGGACTAATATCTTTCTAAATTGGCAGTGGCACATTTAAACTCTCGCTAATCTTCAGTAGGTTAAAAGTATTTCTGAAGTAGTCAGAGACTACTGCAATTTTAGAATTACTTCACTTTTGCATCTCTCTCTCTTTCTCTCAAATGGTGGACTAATATGACTATTCCCATTATTTTCTGAAGCGTAGGTATCCATTTAAGTTGAAAAATACATCATCTGCATTTTTAAGTCCTGTATTCCCTTGATGAAAATTACATGTTCGTAAGTGTTTGCTTTGTAACTGGCATAGCAAAGACTAAGGAGTGGAAGACCAGTGAATTGTGTATTTTTAATTGATTAAATAAATTACACCATTCTTACTTTAAAATATATTATTTCCCTCATGTTTACACACTCCATTACTAGAAGGAGGTCATAAGCAGTAGAAAAGAATGTTCTAGGTAGTGCTGAAAGGATCAAGAAAGTACTTGGCTTATCATTGTACTATAATCGGGTATTGCTGTGGTGACTACAGCCTTTCATTTAAGTGTTGGTTTTTTGTCTTTTTTTCCTGAACAATATAAATTAAGAAATAATGTCAAGTCTTCATGATGTACAGTAGGTGAAATAATTGAAGGTTCTGCCAGATCTCTTTAATTAATTTGCAGCTGTGATTAGTGTTTGAAAATGCCTGTGAGCTTGAGGCTTCTTAAATAAAGTTCTGACATTACAGAAATTTTTAAATAGGGTAGCAAGATAATTCTCCATTGATAGGAATTCTGTTTCACTGCCACGTGAAATATTAGGTAAAATTACAAGAATATATTTTTGGTTTTACCATATTCTAGTTTTGTATTTTATAGTCCAGTGATTAGCGAGAAATTTAGTGCATATCTTGCATTCTTGAGTTTTGCTAGCTTAAGGTAAATTCATATATGAAATTATAGATGGAACAAATGATTCTACAAGATAGTTCTTGATCTTTTAAGCACAGCTTCTGTCTTGTCTCTGTTTGTAATTTCTTAGAAATGTACTAATGCCATATTACACCTCTTAAACAAGCTGCTGTTTATGTTTCCCAGGGATCCCTCTGAAAGCTCCCATAGACAGAAGCGTTCTCCTAGTCCTGCAGATCATTCTGGCAGTAATTCTTCCCCTTCCAGGGAGTATTCACCACCTGCTGCAAGGCGAAGACAAACCTCCCGAGCTCCAGCCAAGTCAACCACTCACAAACATAACTTCTCACCCTCTCGCAGGTGGGAAGTCAATTGCATGGATTTTATTTCCATGAATAGTTCTAGATTAGAAGCTTCCTCTGTTGGTTTGACTACTTGTTTGTATGTGTTTGTTGTGGGTATGTGTATGCCTCAAACACTTGAGCTCTGAGACTTTTTTTTTTTTGCCAAGTTACTACATTGAGAGTATCTGTCATGGCAAGAGCACAAGTCATGGTGCAGGCTTCCAATTATCAGTTCCTCTCAAATATTTTGGCTTCAGGTGGAACTTCAGAAGTCTGATATGAGACATAGTCAGTCTGTGATCCTTTGGGAACTTTTTTTTTTCCTTCCTCACCTTCCCGCTTCTTAAAAAGTAGAAAATGTGAGAAGTCTTCTATTTTGGAGATGGGGAAGGAGCAGAGTTTCTCCGTTCTAAAATGGGTAAGGTGATACACAGATCCTGGCTCTACACGTCTATCCTGAAAATCAGGCACAAGTGGCTAAACAGTACAATATGAGGACAATTTCAGAGACCCTTCTCACAGGAAGCTTCAGGGAAGGTATCATCCTGCTAGTTCTAGGGGGCCTTAGAAAAAAAATCCTTTACCACCCATTAAAAAGAAAGGAGGAGGCTGCTTATTTCGGTCTAAAGGAGGCTGTAAGCTTAGGTTTAGAATGGGCAGTGCTAAATTCTACTGCAGTCCTATGTTTATATAATGGCTTATTTTCTGCACTTCTGTTGAAGGGTCAGGGGAAGACACCAGATGTCATATATATCTGCATGCTGATAAAACAAGCCAAATAAAACCCATCCATTCAGCAATCCTAAGAGTCATAAGCAAGCTCTTTTGCTGCTGTGGTGACTCAGTTCAGCTGGAACAATGTATTGTATTAACTAGGTGTCACTAATGGACATTTTCTCTAAATTGGATTGTTTATAGGGAAGGCAGTAGAGCAGCCTGTTCCCCGTGCAGCTGGCAGTAGTAAGGAGACTGAAAAATACCTTTGCAGTACCCTTTTCCCCCCCTTTTCTAGCCTACTCCAGTATTTTGCTCATCACTGCCTGCTTGGGGATTCTGTGCAGACATATCAAGTGTTGTACAAGGGAATGTTAAGCAGGGAAGATAAATGGGCCTTCTGCTAGAAGCAGGGAAGGATAGTTGAAATGTTTTGTTTGTCTGCAAACCATTGATAGCCTTCCATGCAAGCCAATTTTGGTAATCCTGCATTTCATAATAATGGTTTAATGGTGAAAAGTAAATGTAGTCTTAAAGATGGTGAGTCATGAAATTATATTAGATCCTGTCAGTCATTTCTGACCCTGACAGAGTTTTACTTCGAGTGCTTAGGAAATTTTACTGCTAATTCCAGGCCGTCTGTTTCATTCATATATGACAATGTGTACAAATTGTCATCTTACCGGCATGCAGGCTACTTGTTTCCTCAGGAATAGTGATTGGTCCCTCTTGTGATGGAAAGCTGCAGCTAGCATGAGTGTATATCCATGGAGACAGAGAAACTGAGTTTCCTCTTTCCTGCCATCCATGAGGAATGTTCACTGGTAGCACGCACAAGGGGACCTTCAGGCTTTTTAATTTTCCAGGCAAAAGAAGGTACGCATAAGCATCCTGGAGGTCAGACTGTGTGTAGAAGTGACAGGCATCCCTAAGCCACATCAGGAGCACGTCAGCTGGATCCCATGCACTTTTAGGCCTTCAGACAAGGAGACACAGAATCTTAGTCTATTGTTGAGGTATCCAAATATTCTCTGGCATCGACCGTCATAAACACATCTCAGTGGGATAGTCTCCAGGCCTGGCAATATCTGAGTGTACAAGCTTACAGACACAGTATGAATTAAATCGAAAAAACAGATGCAGCCTATTCTTCAGAGTGTCCTAGTTAAGTATGTTCCAAAGGCTGGTCTTATTTATTTTTCTGTCTCACCCCTTTCTTTCTGCCACTTTTCTGGGTATGTTTTCTAGTAGCAATGAAGTGGCTCAGTTCAAGTGTTGTTTCAGCCTGTCCTGCAAAAATTTGGTTTGACTTCTCTCAATTGAGAGACTTCAAGTCTGAAGTGCCTCAACAATCAGGTCAAGATGCTTCCTTTCATGAATATGTCTGGTTCTGGTTCTGGAATGGAATCTGGCTCTAAAACCACTGTCTTCGTGAGATCGGTCCTGTGGTAATCAGCATACTCTTCCATGGGGCTCTGAAAGCAGTTTTCTTGAGTCACTGACATTGACTAGAACGAAGGATGAAATGCTGATATTAACAGAAGATTTCCACCATGTTGTCTTTTACCCAAAAAGGACTTCCTTACAGACTTGAGTTCCTACCTGAGGTTGCCAGTGATTTCACTGCACATTCCGTTCCCAAAGCTTTGCTCCTTGGAAGCTGAATCATTGCTCTGTGTTGTTGACATGAGGAGAATCTTTTTACCTGCAGAGTCTGGGTCTTTAAGAAGCCTTACCCAGGAGATCCACTGCTGAGTAGCATTGGCTGGGCAACTGTCCATTTGGCTCTTGGATAGTGTCATGACAGGCTGTAAGTCTGCCAACCTGAATTACTCCAGAGCTCATTCTCTTCAGAGCCCAACAGACATCAGCTATCTCACTGAGAAGAATTTCTTGTGACGTTTGCAAGATATTCAGCAAAAGCTGTGTTACCTATGTATCTTTACCAGCTGTTGGGCTATTGCAGAAGATTGCAGGGAGGTACTACTGTCCCTCATTTGTGAGTCGCCTGAAACTGAGAGCTTCATCTGTATGATCTGGATGTTTATTTGAAGTCACCAACACTGTATATGGGTATTCAAAAGCAGGAAATAAATTACTTAAAATGAAGCGGGATTTTTGAAGATGTGTTGTCTGTGTGTGGTTTTTCCGACTCCTGCCCTTCTTTTTGGAGTCCCTGGAATTTTGTGAAGTAGAAGGGAGTTGGAAGTTAAGGGCAATGCATATTTCATGAGAAAAGATACTTGCAAATTGCTTTGATATGCCGATAAGGGGAAAAAAACCCCACTACTGAGCTCAAAGGCTTGAAGTGTGCCTTTGTCCACGTTAGACTCTGCATGGGATAACGTATTAAGAGGAAATTTGTTTACTGTTATGTAAATGATCTTTAGTTAAGTGATGGGATTTTGAAGGTGAGAGACACTGTGTGTGCTTTTTCTTATTCCATTAGATCTAAGTTTTCCCTGTTCGTGTAAACGTTCAAGTTTGCTAAAATTTTAAGTAGATATGCGTATGGGTTTTTAGGATCCAGGCCTAAATTGTTTAAAGATCACTGCTTATGATAAAAGAAAGAAGTTAAAAGTGCACAATAAGGACACACTGTTGCTTTCTGAAAAATTGAATGCTGTTGGAAACAAAAGAAGAAAAATTCCCCTTAGGTAACACTGTGTAAAAGTCATCTGCCTAATTTTTCCATAAGCTCCAAAAAGCATTTTCTATTGAAGAAAACAATGGTTCTTGGTTTGGGGGCGGGGGAGAAGATCATGGTTTTTTCTGACTCCTTCCTCCCTTCCGCCAGGAAAGCATTCTGGTAGCTGTGTAATATAATTTTGATTGGACAGCTTTTTCTTGCATATTAAATAAACTATAACCATTTAAAGGTAAGCATACTTTGAAAGGATATCCTTGGTACCCTTTAGGGAAGACTAGTTCCATGTTTTACAGAAACAGTACTTATTTTCAGCAGACAGAGGGTAGAGAATGCACAAATTATTTTAATCACTCTTTTTTGTAGGGTATGGTAAGAACCTTTCAAATGAAGTTATTACATGTGTGCCTATTCTAACTCTTCCTTGCAGGTCTGCTTCCCCATCAGGTCAGCATCATTCTCCCATATCCTCCAGACATCACTCCTCTTCATCACAGTCAGGATCCTCTGTTCAAAGACATTCTCCTTCCCCACACCGCAAAAGAACTCCTTCTCCATCCTATCAAAGGACAGCTTCCCCGCCTGCAAGGCGATCATCTTCTCCCTATCCCCCACACTCTTCCTCTTCTCCTCAGAGGAAGCGAAGCCCTTCGAGACACCGATCTCCTGGAAGAGAAAAAGGAAGACATGATCGTGATCGGACCTCACAGTCTCATGATAGGCGCCATGAAAGGCGGGATGGTATGGATAAAAAAATAGCACTTGAGAATAATATTGTTTATTTGGAAATTGCATTTTGAAACTTGATTTTCAAATCGTGGCATTGTCTGCACCTATCCCAATGACTAGCGGGTGAAAAAATTACTAGCTGTACTATTGTTCCTGTGCTGGCGGTGCTGTTTTCAGGCACTGCACAATGGAATATTCCCGATAGGACTGCTTATGTAGGCTCAGCTGATTGCAAAGATCCTGTAGGCATCTGTCTAGGTGTTCCTTGTGTAATGCAAAGGTGGTGTCAGTAGGTAAGTGATCTTCTCTTGTTATCAGGCGTATGCTAGTGGATCAGCTGAGTGACAGCAGGATACTTGTAAGTAACTATTACTCTTTTACGTGAGGTGGCCAAATGCTAACCCAGTCCTCACTGATTGCTCTGTCTATTGTCTTTTTAATTGATGTTAAGTGAAGTGTGTGAAAAGAAACAGTCGTTCCCTCTGGAAATCTGTAAAGCCGGTTGAGCAATTTGTGATGGGCAAACATGCCGTTTCTCTCAAGAGACAGATTACAAAGAGTACATGTCAGCTTTTTTTAGACTGGCTGTAAACTTACCTTCCTGTAGCAGTAACATTATAAATACGTAATTTAAAAAAAAATAAAAGAAAATTAAAAAAAGAAAAAGACTTTAGCAGGGCATTGAGGTCTTAAAAGCAAGTGGTCTAAATATAGCAGAAATTTCCTGAAAATGTGTGTGGAGAAAAAAAAAAATTATGATTGGAGGAGAAATGGTCTAACCTTAAAATTACCAAAGTGTGCCTGCTCTCTAATATGTTTGAAATTTATTTCTGTTATACTTACTGTCTTTTTGAACAGGTAGATACTTGTAAAGCACAGATTCAAATTCATAAAAAGATCTTTAAAGCTTACTGAATGTATAGGTAGATAACCAACATGATCTTCTCCTACTTACATATTAATTTTGATTTTCTGTGCATATTTCAGAAGTGTATTTTGACTGTATTATTTTAGTGTTATTTGTGTGCTAAATTTTTGCTTCCTCTGATTAAGCTAGGTATATAACATTCTTTTAAACATTTTACAGAAACTAGAGGGAAAAGGGAAAAAGAAAGAGAAACACGAGATGATCGTGATTATGACCAGGAGCAGAGTACCTCCAGGGATCACAGAGATGACAGAGAGTCCCGTGATGGAAGAGATCGGAGGGAGACAAGAGACAACAGAGATCGGAGGGAGGCAAGGGAATCCAGAGACACTCGAGACTCCAGAGACACGAGGGATTATGGCAGAGATACCAAAGATAGTCGTGATCAGAGGGACTCACGCTCCACACGAGATTCCCATGACTACAGAGACAGAGAGAGTCGCGATACCCATAAAAAGGATGACCAGTATCAGGAGGACTCACGCAGCTATGGAAGATCCCATGGCAGAGAGGAGAGCTCTCGTGCTGAAACAAGGAATGACTCCAGGAGCGACTCCAGAAATGAGAGCAGAAGTGATAGAACTGGCAGAAGTCGAGGCAGAGGTCCAGAATTATCTGACAAGGGTATTACATGATTTAAAAGATTAATGTGTCCCTATCATTGGAGATTGAATATTGACTGACATTCATACTATCTTGTTTGATATTTGATATGGAAGTGCTGCCAGATAGTTCATGCTTCTAAAGCTATGTTCAATTCTATTGTCGTTAAATTATAACAGTTGCTTAAATTTATAGCACTTCTGTGTTCTCCATTCATTAAAGTGGCATAACATTGGTACTCTCTCATCCCATTTAAAACAAACCCTAACCCTTACACCACTCTAATGTTTCTGCAACCTTAGGTTTTCCTGTGGGCTACAAATACACATAAGAGGCTGATGTGGAGTGGGAGATTCGTAGGGGGAAGCATGTCTCAAAGTAATGGGCAGCAGGTTTTCTGTTTTCTCTCAAGAGCAACTGCATGTCTTAGGTACCTGAAAACTATCTTTCACCTCCCTGCCCCACCCTTCTTGATTGACCAAAAAAAAGTGGAATTTTAAGCTTTGGCAGTATTTTTGAAAGCCTGATGCACTTTGTAGAACAGCTTCACTTACCACCTTTTAATCATCTATAGTAAATATATTTTGGCTTTCTCAGGTTTATCGTGACATTTCATTAGGAAGATGCCATACAATTTTTACAGGAAAAATGATCTCTACTTTCTCTGCTTATT